TACTTATAAAAACGCCCACCGATGTGACGTCGGTGGTCAAGGACATAAAAGCGCCGCCGCAACTGCATCGCTTCAGTGGGGAAGGTGACAGCAGCACTAGCACAATGCTTAATCGCTGTCTGTTCCTTGTGCAGGTACGTTACCTAAGCAATACATATTGCCTTCGTTCTGACGATCGATTTTCGCTGCTGGTACCTTGCCCCCACATTTGCTCATTTATGCTTACTTCATCATATGCTGATATTGTACATGGCCTGTGTAGTCTCTTACTAAGCGGCGATGTGGAGTTAAACCCGGGACCTCCGCAAAGGCTAACTCGGGCTAATTTGGCTAGCTCAGGCCTTACATCGCACACAGGTTCTCCTACTCCAACGGATTCTAATAATCCATCAAGTTCTGATGCCGACAATGAATGGTCTGTTTCAGAAATGTTTTCTCAAATTCTATCTCGCCAGAAGAAAATAGAACAAGATGTCGCGGAATTGCGTAACTCTGTCAACTCCCGGTTTGAGGCTATCGAATGCGCTTAACTGTTCTAGAGAAGACTCCACCTTCTCACAATGCTGCATTCTACGACGAACTGCGTTGCCAAATCGAAAAGCTGTCTTCTACAGTCAACAAGCTTTCTTCTCGAAATGTTGATTTAGAAAATCGTTCGCGCAGAAACAACATTATCATATACGGTCTGGAGGAATCGGAAGATGAAAATAGCGATTCTTTAAAGGCCAGTCTGTCGAAGTTTTTTTCAGACATACTTAAAGTTGAATTTCCGCAGATCGAACGATTCCACAGGATCGGTAGATACTTTGGTAGTAAACCTCGCCCGGTCATTCTTAAACTTCTTGACTTAAAGATTAAGGTGCTGAAGAATGATTAAGGTGCTGAAGAATGGCTTTAAGCTGAAGGGTTCTAACATGCGTATAACGGAGGACTTCTCTGAACACATACGGATTATTCGCCAAAAACTATGGGACGCCACTGCATCCTTTAGGAATGACGATTTCACTGTGTAATTAAGGTACGATCATGTATATGTAGATAATGCACGGTATGACTGGGATTGTATTTCCAACTCATTAGTAAAATCCACCAAACAGTCTTCTAAACGCCCCACTCTTACGAAATGACCGGATCATGATAAGGTGTGTATTCTCAATATAAATGCCAGAAGTCTCACTAATAAACTTCCTGATTTTGTACACTTGCTTGCTACCTATTGTCCTCACATTATTGGCGTCACGGAAACCTGGCTTCATGGCGACATATATGATTCTGAAATTACTCCACCAGGGTTCAATGTTGTTCGTACTGATCGATTGCATGGCCGAGGGGGCAGCGTTGTCATATTCTTGAGGTCTGATTTAAGTTTTTCTGTATTAAAGTCACCTGCAGATATTGAAACCGTCTGGTGCAAGGTTCATATCGCGAACTCTCCTATAATTGTCGGTGTATTTTATCGTCCCCCAGGTTCATCACTAGATTGGATCACAGTACTCAGTAGTTTTATAAAACAAAAAGGCTTTTCTTCAGGTAACCTAATTTGCATGGGAGACTTTAATGTGCCTGGCATTTCATGGCCATCGCTCTCCACTTTGGGCACCGATTCATCCATTTGTAGAAAGGTGATTAATTTTTCACTAAACTTAGGTCTTAAACAAGTTGTCACTGATGCCACAAGAGACAATGTTATTCTGCACTGCGTTTTTCTCAGTGATTTACTGTATACAAGGGCGTTTACAGCTCAGGTCATTAATGGTATTTCTGATCATAGAGGTGTACTAATCTCTCTTAATTGCACAGTTCCGAAACGCCGCTATGAATATACAACTTTTCGCGATTATAGCCTGGCTGGCCATGTGTCTATAATTCTATAATTGACACCTTAAGCAGCGAGTTTAACATTTTTAAAGAACTTAGCTATATTGGTGATGTCAACAGTTTGGTGTCCTATTTTGAAAACCTTCTTATAGAATGTATTGAAACACATGTACCACTAAAAATTAAAAAGAAAAATACTGAACTTCAATGGATAACGAGAGAAATACTGCATTTAAAGCGTCGACTATCAAGACTAAGGCATGCAAGTCGTAATGGCAATGCCCTGCGTAGAGCTGAATTCAATACAGTGAAGGAGGAACTTCGTAGGAAAATAAATGCTGCTAAAGACTTCTTTTTCGCGTTTACCTTGCCAAATATGGTTCAAAATAATCCCTGAAAATTTTGGAGCTCAATCTCGCCAAAGGAATGCTCTACTAGTACATTCGTCCTTAATGAAACTCCTACTAGCCAGCCGCAGGTCATTGCCAATTCATTTAACGAATACTTTACGTCTGTCTTTGCTCAGGATAATCACGAAATCTCTTCTTGCACTCCACTTCATGCCTCGCTTGTTTCTATTGATGATGTCTCTGTGTCTACAGAAGGTGTTTTAAATTTGATTTTAAATGCTGATTTAAAAAAGTCGTCTAGCCCAGACAATGTTAACAATATTTTTCTTCATCGCTATTCTCTATGGACAAGCCAATACCTGTCAGTAATTTTCAACAAATCATTATCAACATCAACTGTTCCATCATCGTGGAAAATTGCACAAGTCCTTCCACTCCACAAATCAGGTAGTAGGCAATCTGTATTAAATTACAGGCCTATATCATTAACCTCTGACTCATGCTAACTACTGGAACATATTGTCTTCAAACACATCATCAATTTTCTCGAAACTAACAATATTCTGTCCAATGCACAACATGGTTTTCGGCGTGGATTTAGTACCATAACTCAGCTGACAGAATTCACTCATGACATATCTATAGCTCTTGACTTAGGTCTTCAGGTGGACGCAATATTCATAGACTTTTCTAAAGCCTTCGATACTGTCATCCATTCAAAACTTCTATATAAACTCAATCTCTTACTAAAAAAACCAATCGCTTGTTCAGTGGATTAGAAGTTTCCTTTCAAGTCGTAGCAAATACGTATCATTTAACACCTTCCATTCATCTAAAGCACGTGTATCTTCCGGAGTGCCCCAGGGATCCGTGCTAGGGCCATTACTTTTTCTGTTATATATAAATGACCTACCCGACACAGTTTTCACTAAAATTTGTCTTTACGCTGACGACTGCGTTTTATATCACGTAATAAATTGACCTGATGATCATCGTACACTTCATACATCGTTCTTTAACTTTTGCAGGTGGTGCCAAAATTGGCAGATGAGCATTAACTTTCAAAAGACAGCTGCTATGTGTTTCAGTAGACAGAAAACCCCTTCTGTGTTTGATTATTCTTGTAATAACTATGTAGTGCAGCGGGTCTCACAATATAAGTACCTTGGTCTCCTTTTCACTACTAACTTATCTTGGTCTAGTCACAACGATACAACATGCAACAAGGCTCTGAAGAAACTTGGATACCTTAACCGCTCACTACGTTTAGCCACAAGGGAAACAAAACTGCTTACATACAAAACCTTCGTACGACCGATCCTTGAGTATGGAGCCACTGTATGGTACCCTTATAAAATCACAGACATAAAACGCGTTGAATCCATCCAGAAAAAAGCTATTCGATTCATTTACAGACGCTATTATCGTAATTTTTCACCATCATGCCATCTAGCGCAGCTTGGTCTATCATCACTTTCTAAAAGACGAGACATCGAGTCTCTGAAACTTTTTCACTCTTTATTTAATTCACCGCAATATTCACCACACAACAACTACATAACACCTGCCAAACCATCATCCACCAGAAACAGCCACGCACTTAATGTATCTGTGTTTCATCCTCGTACTGATTTCTTCAAATACACCTTTTTTCCTCGATGTATTGATATGTGGAACCTCATACCAGGTCACATTCGGTCTTTGCAGAAAGATGAATTTTTGAAGGCATTAAAAGACGGTGTGCTGTAAACCTTTCATTGTTTGTATAACTCTGTTTGTAAAATTTTTGTATTTCTATGATCTGCCAATGTACTTGTGTATTCAGCTGTTTTGTTTTGTACCTTGTTATTAATTCTTGCTGTGTACCCACTCCTGCGATAGCCCCATAACGGGGCTGCAGTATTTGAAAATAAATAAATAAATAAATTATGGCCGTCTGGTAAAATGACAGGTGCAATGCTTCGCCGCTACTTATCTCGCCATTCACTCTCTCTCTCCTCCCAGTGCCTTACTATTCTTTCGATAGAGTGAAGAGCGTGCCTTACTCTGGAACGGCCCCCGCCGAGTCCGACAAGTGTCCGACTACCATGCATTCACGGAAGTTTCATTGATCTCGCCATTACCCAAAACTCTGACGTGCGCATGCTTCTCAAAGACCATTTGACTGTACACTTTCGCGACCACTAGGCTGAGATTATGAACGTCAGGCACGATGACAGCACAAACAAGGGCTGATGAATGTGTAGATAAATGGTAACGGTACAAATCTAATCTTCTTCTCGTCATCAGTTTACGTTAATAAATTACTACGCCGTGCACTAGTATTTTAGATATGCCAACAATAGAAAAATGACTGCTCAATGCGCCAGAACAGATGCTAAAGGGAGCCAGAAAACAGCCATGGCACCAACCTTAAGTTTTCATCAACAGACGGGGCCGAAAAGTACACATTTTGAAGCGAGGTAGCTACCAACGGCTACCATGATTGTTGCAGTTGAGGGGTGGCGCTGAATTAGGATACTCCGCCTTTGGAAGAATCAGGGTGTCTTAGCACGTCACCCACGTCAAAATGCAGCCACTTAGCCAGGAATAGAACTCTCGTACAATGATCCATAATGATTAGTGTTCTAGTATCCCAAATGAAAGTTTGTGCAACCTTGCATAAAGCATCTGCATTAAATGCATAAAGCATTTAACATAATGTTGTGCATGAAGCTCCTTTTTACATGGAATGAGGTGTTATTGTTTTCAGAAGGTATAAAATTTCGGAAGGGCTGGCCGAGCTAGCCCTGCAGAACTATAATGAGCAGGTGATGCAATATGCTCGCTCACCTGTCCCCGCTTTGGTGGTGCTGGCTTGGCCCCTCCCGCTGCAATGCCACCGTACGGAAACTTCTTCTTGTCGGCTGGCTTCAGAATCTGCAAGAGAGGCAGCACAAGCGCTGTGAGAGTTAGTACCATTTGTCACTGCACACACCCCTCGCATGACTGCAGCCTCTACAGCTGGTCTACTTCCTGTCAGTGGCCTTTGAAAAGCAAGCATTGGGGTATTGCGTCCAAAGACTACGATACCATTCTGAGGAACGCTGAAGGGCTGGGGAAATATTAACAATAAGAAGTTCTGTAAAAGGGCCGTGTGACACAAATCAAGCAAGTTGTTTTCATTACTACTTCCGGAACTGTGAAATGAGCCGACATTATTGCACAAGTGGCAAAGCGTAAAACAAAGCTGTTAAAATTTTATCTCAACGCAAAAACGACGTTAGAGACAAGAGCGACACGCAACAGCGATTGTGTCCAGAAGTAACTTTTTTATAGTGTCGGAATAGACCTAGGAGTTGTCCAAAAATTGACCCCGCGTTGCCCTTGGAGGGTACCACTGGGGGGTTACAACATAAAAAAGATACAAATATTTCTTCATTTGTGCTATATGCTTGTTCTTCAGACAGCTCGTTCTATTCTTCTGCACACTTCGGCAAAAAAGAATTAGCTAAACTCCATGGTCTGGGCCAGTATTCGCGGAATTTAAGTTTGTGACCACTGCTACGAAAATTGAAATGCGTCTTTTAGCAAGTTCCATTGGTAAGGATGACCTTGTTGTAAATTAAAAAAAAGAACAACTTCAGTCTTAATTTTGTTGTGGCGAAGATATTTCCCAACTAAATTCTTGTTTCATCTCTGTGCCATTAGACAGTTATAGTATACCGGGCTTACCGGGACACCAGGCGTACCGTGATACCGGGATAGAAGTGCACGTGCGCAGATACGTACGTTACCCGTGCCGCTTACCGTAGGCGGGCTATTTTTCAGATTTACTGTTACCGTGGTAGCCTAGGTGTACGCAGTTTACGTACAACATGGTGGTGCTCTCAGTCGCCCGCTTCGAAATGATTTTGGCGTAGTTGTTGAAATGCTCACTTTGTTCGCGGTAAACGAGTGTTTAATGTGGCCTCGCTTGCCTCAAGTTAGCTTCGGTGACTGAGTATTACGGATAAGTTGGCGCAGTTTTTGAGACAACTTCTGATTTCGAACGCGTCTAGGCCTAACTAGAAGATCGATGTAATTAAATCGGCAACATAAATGTTTCTGCATTCGGTGCGTCATTGATAATTATGTACTTTCAATATTACTAAAATAAACCTGTAAAAATACTTTGCACGGTGGAATAGGCAAACATTCTGGTTTGCTTTTCCTTTTCAGTGTTCTTAACCTTACTAACCATTCAATAGGTGGCACAACCGTCCCATCTGGGGCACGTCAACCACGTCAACACTATCCCACTAAACTATAGGACGCTGTCCACAACGAACGTTTGCTGCACGGTAACGCCATTCTTTTATTTCCGCTATCACGCTAACGGTAAACTAAAACTGTCTACTACTTGTTCCGTGGCGTGTGCCCAGGACGTACGTGGATGCTTCGTTTTAAAGGGTCCCTCGCCAGGCCCCTCAACAAATTATAGGAGGGTTGCGCAGGGGCGTAGCCCACAGGATGGCGCCAGCATCGAAGAGGCAGCGTATCCATCTTTGTGGTCTCTCTCTTGGCTGCCAACGGCAAGCAATCGCAGAACCTACACTCAAAGGTGTGCGTCCGTGTGAGGTTCCTGTGGTCACAATGGTGAACTTGGGTGTATTTGGTCGCTACAACCACTCATTTAAGAAGCCTGGTCATGAGAATGCATCTGATTTCGGCTTTTTTTTATATCTAAAGTGATTGTAAAGCAATCGAACAAGTTGGGATGGCTCAGCCTTACATTTTACCGCGTGTGTGTTCCACATTTAATTTCTGGTTAGTGTTCAGAACCTATGCAACATCATGGAGGTTTGATTTTGTGGTGGAAAACTTATTATTTTTTTATTTTTGCGAAGTACCATGAAGATTTGTTTACGCAGCAGGAGACTAGTGCGCACTACGTGCACGATCACTGCTTATCAGCGGTATCATTCAGGTAGGTGCGGTGTGTTACTGATATCGGTGTGTTAGTAAACAGTCAGTGTTCTCGTTAACCCATGCTTTGACGAGAGCGCACTGCGTCGCTGACTGTTTAAGAGAATTGTCAGCTGAGTACATGAACGGTGACGTCACAATAACGTTGATCAGTTACAATCGAGACCATATGCGGTGCGCAACTGCCGGACGCGTGTCGTTGGACTTTGAAGCAAAGAGCATTTTTGATCACGAGCAGTTTGGGCTCAACCACGAACGAGCTATGCCAATCGTATCACGTCACATGCTCTTCCAAACGGTGAAGCCCTTCCACACAAGGAATTCGGGAAGCGACACCAGCGCAATGACAAAAATTATTTGTTCGAGCACCAAGCAAGGGGAACCAGTCACGTTTTCGACGACGAGGCGGCGGCCGTCTCCGAGGTCTCGAACTCGGTGCTGTTGGGCCCATCCACTAGTCACATAGTTGTGGACGTCCATCTATGTATAGGCTTTAAGCTCGTCCCTTGCTGCGAAGCTTGCGCCGCGAACAAGGTGGTCCTTAATGTCCGTGAGCTCAATGCGGGAATAACACTGCACATCACACACAGCTTCATCGCTGCTGAAGCCGAACGGGTCGATATCCGCTGCAAAGGTGAACCTCATTTTCGTAGCGACGTTTCGCCGGACCTCGGAAGTCCCGCCCGTAAGCACTCAGTCGTATTTCACCACGTTGGTACCGTACGTAGCGGCACGCACACAGCCTCCCACTGCCACTCGCCGCTTCAAAAACGGCGTGCCCAGACCACTGACATGGCGGTGGAGGCAAACGCCACTAGCGCCTCAAGTGGATGACATCACGTAAAACCGTCCTATAGACAGACGCTCTTAGTTGTGTGTTCGAAGAAGAGCATTATGCCACTAAAAGTTTTTCCACCGGGTCATTACGAATAGATAAAAGCAGTATTTTGAAGAGGTGCGAAACCGCGATGAGAGCAGGCGAGCTCAAAGCTCTTGTCGCTAGCACCGCGTAGCCTTCGCCCAACCTCTTCTCTATCCTCTCCGGCATCCGAACAAATGGTCACGTGTGCATGACCGCATGACGTTACTGAGCCAATGCCAATGCCTCCTAGAAAAATTTATGCCTGGAACGTGAGCCACGAACGCGCCGCCATACCCTCGTATTTTACCCTCCCCCTCCTGTACAGAGGCGAACGCCTTCGGCGGCCGCCCCTTGCGAACGCAGCAATGCTCTCACAGTTGCCTCCGAGCAGCTGTGATGTCATGCCACAGAGTGGTACGGTAATGTCACGTGAGTGAGCGGTACGGAGGCGAGTGGTCACACGCAGCGTACGGTCGCAACACGCGGCAAGATGCATGGCCTCGGAGATTCTGCGCTGGCAGGAAACTCTTAATTGAAAAGAGCGACGTTCCAGGCATAGTTTTTCTAGGAGGCGTTGAGCAAGCCGAACCACCGAGCACGTGAGCAGCGTTGTTTTATTTTCCAGCGTTATATTCACTACTCCAGCAATTCATGCGGCACCTAGCGGCAATATAGAGAAGCTGCGTACTGAGGTCCTAATAGTCCAAGCGCCAGTCGTATACGGTAGGAGCACGGTACGATGATGTTGCCCGTGAAGAAAAAATGAACGGCCAAGCAGACTTGTTGTTTCCAGTTGAAGCACCAATGTTAACTTGTTAACTCCAACCTTTTAAATGACTATTGTATCCAGTGACTACATGTGTGCCATGTGCATTACAGAGACGTTGTGTGCCTTGTGCATTACACACAAAACGCGACCACTTCTTCAAGAACGCCGCTCGCGCTTGCGGGACCACTGGTGCCGACTAAAATAAGACGCTCCGCGTCAACAACCCCATCCCTTTCTACAAAGCACCGCGAACTGCCACCACACGGCAGGAAACTAATTATCTGTGTTTGCGACAGTGGACGTGGTGACTTCCGTGAATCCATTATGCTGCAACTCCGCAGCGCCCTCTCATGTTCATTTTAGTTGCGAAATGTTGTACTGCCTCTTTCTACGGTATGAAAGCCTCGGTGCGCACTCGTTTGGAAATGCTGGTTTAGACGCGGGAGAATAAGATGATCATATTGAGTGCTCGAACGCCCAGGACAATTTCGTTTCCAGGGCTGGCGTCGCAGCGACACCACCACATGCCAAACGCCGGTGTATTAGCCCCGCATATTATTGCAATTAAAGCGAATCAAATGAAAAAAAAAAGACGCGCATATTCCCTTTTCGTGTCTCAATATTGATCTCAAGTTTTATTCATCTATTCAAGCGAAAAATTAGACAAAATACACATGTGTCAAATAATTTTCACAGTGGCACTGTCTACTGTTAGCGGCGTAAGAGCACAGACATCTGCGTAGAGGACCGGCGTTACAGCACCACTGTCTACGTTGGACGATTCCTACGTCTACATCATGCCTTCATTCTCTGGGCGCAACCCCACGAAAATAAGTACAAGCAGCGCTCATCTTGAACTTTGGCCCATTCCGCGGCGCGTATACACCTTTTCACAGGAAAGAAAAAAACACCGCCATGATGGGCTGTGCGCAGGAGTACAAAGGCTAAGGGCGCAGGGTTGTCAGTGCATTTTCGAGGGGACGCGCCAATTTGCACAGCCCAAGGAGGACTATGGCGGCACCCAGGGAGGCGTTTATGAAAAGGTGAATAGCGTTACAAAATTTGGAAGACGTGATTGTCAGCGCCCCACATATGCATTGCACTAACCAACTCAAAATTGTCAAACCCGGTGAGGGGCACTTTTTAAATTCTTTCTAGCAAAGTTTTTTGTCGCTTGCGCAGTAATCGACGGGAGTCCTCACACGCTGGATAATGTTATCGCATGTTCAAAGTTATCGCACCGAGAGCCTACGATGCACGGAGCGATGTTATGATTTGGGCATTATACGAAACCTGACGACGAAGCTCCATATAATGTACATATATAATTGATACTGCAAT